AATAATACAATCATAAATATTATCACTCTATTTACATTAGAACGAATGAAAAAGTACTAACATTGAAAAATTTTAAACATTACAACCGTTTTAATTAGTACAAATAATATCAATATAAAATGAAAGAAATAGGTAGAAGGCTTACATGAAAAAAATGCCTTTTAGCTAAACGAAAGTTAGATTATATCATCTATAGGTTGGTAACTATGCATTTTTTTCAATTCGAGATTTCGTGTCCATATGGCAACAGTTGTTCCGTAAGTGATTTTATTTAAAGTTCAAATAAATCATCTATAAGTTGGCAACTATGCATTTCCTTATCACTGAATTTAGGTTTTTTGTTTAATCGTTACCATGACAACTGTCTCTATGGCAACACTTTGTCCGTATCGAATTTCAGCTAAATTAAATCATCTAAAACTTGACAACTACGTGTTTCCTCACCACATGATTTGGGTTTTTGTTTAGTCGTTACCATGACAAGCGTGAGGGGGAGAAATAGAATTTATGTCAGAACCCACTAGCAAAAGAACTTTCAGAGTTAACAAAGGTTTTCAACAAAAAAAGTGTTTTGTCTTATGCATTATCATACAGTGTGTTTACTTGAATTGGAACCATATGGAAAACTTTTTTATTATTGGTTTTGTGAAAAAATTTAACCATATCAATTTTTTAAGCCGTATACGAGGTTTGTCAAAAAATATGATTTTTACTCAAGAGTAAAGTACCTTTATTTTTAACAATACAGAAGAGTGTTATAAAGTAGAGTTATTTTAATTTAAAAGTTATATTTAAATATTTAATTATAGCCATTTAGCATTATAATTCAGGTTTGGTGATTATTTATTTTATAATTACAAATAATTTATAATGTGAAATGTAAATAACCTTAATTTTTATGCTAAATGACTGTAAATTAATATTTTAATATAATTTTTAATTAAAAAAAACTGTACTTATAACATTCTTCTGCATTGTAAAAAATTAAATACTTTACTCTTGAGTAAAATTCATATTTTTTGACAAACCTCGTGCAAGGCCTTAAAAAAATTGACATTTTAAGTTTTGGACCATACCGAACTTTTTAGCAGGAATACGTTTTTTTCATAAAATCAATAATAAAAAAGTTTTCCATATGGTTTCAACTTAAGTAGACACACTGTATAACTCGGAACGGACAGACAATTGAGATAAGTCATAATAAAAACAAATGTCTTCCTTACCGATATCTTTCATTTGGTATATATCTTACTCCTATTGAAAGGTGGAGCAAAACTGCCTATTCTCCTTTGCAAAATTATTCATTTTTTTATTATTTGTAAATTTAAAAATAAACGTTTGAAAATATGATTTTGTTTCATTTCAAAATTTAACAAATAGTTTTAAAAAATATATTAATAAACAATACAGGATGAATCCTAAGTTGATACTTTTTTAAATAAAAATATATTTTTTTTCAAAAAAACTCAAAAATAAGAATACTTATATTATTTTATTTCAAAATATATACAATACTATCTGTGGCGAAGCTTCCGTTGATGCGTCGCATACCTTCAAATATTGTCAGCTAATATTTTTTTATTGGAAATAAAATCAATAAGATATCTTATAATAAATTGAAACTCTTAGTGATTTTATTCACATAATTAAGTTTATTATCAATTATTCGGTATAGGGAATGCTTATAAAAAAGGGTTCTACTGGTGATATAAAATTAAGGGTGTCTCATTTAAATAAAACTTGAAAAATCAAGGGTCCTAGTCTTGAGTCACCCTGTAAACTACTAAGCATAGAATAAAAACGTTACTAAAGAAAATTCATCATATTAAAAAACTATTTTTTTCCACAGTATGTAATTGGCTACAGGGCGTTAATTTACCTACGACTCTCATACAAAAGTGTCAATTTTTTATAGAGTAGCCTATATAATCTAGACAAACCGTATAATAGAAGAACGGAAAAAAATGAGTAACCTAAATTTAAAATAATAAACTGGTGTTCTGGTTTAAAAAAACATGGTTGGTTCGTATCTGAGTCATGCAACACTCTGTATACCTCCATGTTTTTTAATATATGGCCCTCAAGCCATTCTACAAATTTTGTTAATATATTTTTTTAATATCTCTTACAACAAGGATGATATCAAACTTTTCCACAAGATTGGTACACCCTATATAAATAAATAAATAAAATATACTAGTTTTAACTTAAAAGATATTATGCTATTAAATACAGATCTACAATAAAAAAGATAATTTTACATTATGAAATTAAATATTTATTCTCAACTATAGTCTGAATAAAAGAGTGCAGTAAAAGTGGGGATATAACGTCACATTCCATAGGCGTACTTTGCAAAACGATTAAAAAAAAATAAAAAATTTAAGAACTATCTTTAAAAGTCCCTGTCTTCGCTATAAGTAATGGTAACATTATCGTTGCCTTTTCTGATGTTTACTATTATAGTGTCTATTAAATTTTTCCATTGCAATATATACTTTCCAAAATGAATTTTTCACCTTTTTACCATGATCAATGCATTTTATTCAAAGTTCTCCATTTACATCTGAAACTACCTTCAAAAACAAATGTAATTTATAAATGTAATTTAAATGCTGCAGTGTTGCATTGTTTTAAATTGTGACCAGTTCAGTTCAATGGGATTTAACTCTGCATGGTAGGGAGGCAATCTGAGAATTTTAATTCCTTTTTCTTGGGTTATCTCGTCTATTATATATATTTTTTAAATTTGTTTTAATGTTGTCTTGCTATTACGAGTAATTCTGCTTCGAAGGATTTAGGAAGACTGATAATATTTTTAGAAAGAAGCCATTTTAAAATATCTTTTTTTTTTTCATCCTGTTGTAGGTTGAGACTCCTTTAATTGACTGTGATTGGATGCATTATCTAAAACAATAACGAATTTGGCTGGGTTTTTTTTTATAATGTCATTAATCTCTTCATGGTAGTCTTTTGTTTTCTTTGACTCTTGCATTAATAAACCATTTGGCAAATATCCATTGATGCTTCCAGTGTGGGTTAGTATTAAACGATTTCCTCTTCCTGATGGATTATTTAATTCACAAGAGACCACTTTATTACTCTATGTCCAGAGTTAACCCATGTTTCTTCTAAATAAATTACCTGTTTATGCTGATTTCTTGCATCCGTTATTTTCCTTAAATAATTATGTCTTTATGCAATGATTTCGTCTGTCTCTGTTAAGAAGCTGTTTCTGTAAAGTTTTTTATAACGAAAATTTAATTCATGTTGTATTTTCTGTAGAAAGTGAAACAAAGTCTTTTCGAAGATTATTAAATACATTAGGTATGATATTTTTTATGTCCAATAGGTCGTATACGTGCTTGCAATATTTTCTAATGCACTCGCCATTTTTATATAACTGTAAAATTGTAATATATACTAATATAAAATTACGAATCAATTAAAATACATGCGATACGGCTATGAATAAATAAAGTCTGACTTATCTGTCACAAGAAAAGGTTTATTTCAGTAAAAACAATGGAAACATGAATAATTCTAAACAAAAACTTTTATTAGGCCGATCAGATGTAATAAATTTTTATTTTTACTACAAATAAGCATTGAAAGATGATGTATAAATAAAATGTCTATCTCTTGAACCTGTACTACGTTTTGCAAATTAAATTACTTCACTTCTTTCTTCTCTAAATTTTAGATAGAGCAAAATTAGAAAAATTTATTTTGTACTTCGTAATAATTCTTATGTTAATAATTATAAAATAGAAAATAAAATATGGTGTACGAAGCCCATAATATATATGCTTGACGTTCAATAATATTATTATTATTTTTTTTGTTAAAATTAGGAGCTCACTATTGGCACGTTTTTTTCTAAACTCTATAAAATGGATTTATCTAGTTTTTCTGATCGCTCAATTATTCACTATTTTTGTACGAAATTTTTGAAAATTTTCTTCACTCTATTGTGAGAATAGTGTCACTGACGTTTTTATTATCATTGAAAACTGCCTATTCAAAATTATCCTTTCTCTTATCTCAGTAAAATTTAATTTTTTGTAAAATTATTGATGTAAACCTCTAAATGTATTAGTATATGTTCCAGAAATAAGTTATAGTGTTTACTTTGATGCATATTTCCAAAATACTGTTAACTATACAGGGTTTTCCTTTTAACCGGATAATCTGAATGGTTGATGTGTTTAAATGATTCACCCTGTATATTTTTTCGTGATTGATTTCAGCTTAAAATGTTACATCCACTACTAAGTTTTTTTAAAAGTGCGATTTTATACAAAGCATGGATATTAATCGTTTTGGAAATTTAATTTTTCTAATTTTCGCGAGCTTTTGGCTCGTTATAATTATTCTAAAGGATGATCATACGTTCAAATAAAATTTAAAACTTTTTGGCCCTTTCTTGTGTCTTTCTGTCGATCGATCATTTTTGAAGTTGAAATTCATCTCAAAACTTTTGTTTTTCTATAATTTTTTATCTCTCGAAATTATTTTAAGGGTTGGTTGAGAAGAATCTAATGGTGCCTACGGTAATTATATCTTCAGGGGATCAGCGGGTACCATTAATTTTTTCTTAAAAAAGTTACTGAGTGGTCAACTAAAACTAACATTTTTGAATTTCGAGGGTCCAGCTTATAAGAATTCATAATCATTTAAAAAATAGTGTATGCAACTCTCAGGTAATGATTATTACATGATCGTTGGATAATACACTATTATAAACGCATTTTTTTTATTTAATTTAATTGTTATGAAATATAGCATTTATCATTAAATCTCAATCCGTCCCAACGGCGTATATTCACTTTTAATTATGCACAAAACAAAAACATCACTTTGAATCCAGTTCATTATTCATTCCCCAAATTCAACATTAACATTTTTGTGTAAGCCGATTTTATCTATTTCAACGATCGTATTATACCGCTAAATCGTGAGAAATGCACTCGTGCAAGGTGAAGGTAAAGCAAACTCACCTGCATGCCGTTGAGCATCGCTCTTCTATGTCCACCTTGAACTAAGAACTGTCACTAACTGAATGAACTCCTGGACACCATCCACGAGATGTGCCTTTTCTAAGTGTGTATAACTGCGAGCGTGTTTGTATTACAATAATTAAAAATTAAGAGGAAAACAGCTCAGTTGTGTTGACGGCGTTGTACACTAGCGGACTGATCTCTTTTAGAAATGTATCAGAATTTCATCTGAATCCTTACACAAGTCCTTTCACCTGCCCAGCCCAAAGTCGAAACATTTACATACGGTGGTGCAGCGATATATGGTAGACGGTACCCAGTACTTTGATTACAGCTTTTAAAAGCTGCTATCGCAGTTTTGCCAAAAGCGTATCTTGACAAATTGCTAAATTGTTACTATTAATGTTCTATCTCCATAAACATAATGAAAGTGAAATGTATTTTATTTTGTTTATTCCGTAAATATGTCCTCAGGGCTGTTTTAGTTAATTGATAAATAGTTTTTTTTTTTGTAAAAACCGAACAAAGTTTGATGGGTCGTAACTTTTTTATTTTCATGCTATTTTTCTGTTTGTCTGGGAATTTCACTGTGATTTTCTGAGGTTTATATTACTATTGTTATAGAAAGGGAATTATAGAGATACAGGAAACATATCAGTCTGAAATTGTTTAACTTATTTTTGTATAACTTTGTTTTTATATAAGATATCAAATTTTAATTGAAAACATGAAAAACATCTAGTACTAGCTTTCGAAATTATAAATACTGATTTTTATTGACGTCAACTTGATCTATTAGTGTTTTTTGTTTACGAGCTATCACGCGAGCAACCCACATAAAATAGGCCGCGGGAGAAAAAATATTTTCTCAAATCTACAACAGATAATTTTAAAGTTTATACCTGTGATTTATTTATAGTCCAGTCATTTAAGCTTAAATTAGGTAAGAATCTCGGAACTGGAGATACCCAGCTGTAAGTCTGTAAATACTTGTATATTGACACGCTAAAAGTTATCTCAAAACCTACATATGGCAGGATGTACGCAACTATTAAATTTCAAGGTCAAATGTCACAAAAATCGGTTTTTTGCGCTTTTTTGTAAATATCTCATTTTTTATGGGTTTTTTGCTATTTGTATTTATTATCAATATTGTAGAATACAAAATTCTCTACAAATTTTGTTTAAAAAAATTCAGATTACAGTAAGAACGTAAAAGCTATGGAGCAGCAGAGAAGATGAAACAATAGTTGTACCAGTTACTCAAGAAAAATTCTTATCAAATCGAAATAAAGATATGCTCATTAATATGTTAATTGAAAAATTACAAGCTGCAAATATTACTACTAAACAAGCCAGAGATAATGCTGATGTTCTTATTATTGAAACTGCAATTGAAGAATCAAATTCTGAAAAAACTGCAGTTATAATAGGACAAGATATTGATTTACTTGTCATTTTAATTGGGCGTACACTGTCTTACGAACAAGACATTTTCTTTAAAAAAGTTGGGAAAGGAAATGTAAAAACGGGGATATACTTGACTAAAAGTTTTGATAATTATCCTCATTCCAAAACACATATTTTATTTCTGCACGCATTAAGTGGCTGTGACACAACTTCTGCGCTTTTTAAAAAGGGAAAAAATCATTTTTTAAAGTTTTTGAGAAACTGACAAATTTGAATGAACTAGCTGGAGCATTTGAGAAAGAAAATTGTTCGGCCCAGAGATTATTAGAGAGTGGAACTCAAATCTTATTGGCAGTCTATAATGCTCCGAAATCTGTGAAAAGTCTCGATCATCTTCGTTATATGCATTACGTCAAGTCTACAAAACTTAATTAACCTGTGCAGCTTTCAAATATTTCACCAACAAAAGCAGCTGCTCATCAACCTTTCAAACGTGTATATTATTAAGTTCAAACTTGGTTAAGGCATGATTTGGAACCCCAGGTATGGAGTTGGGCAATGCGAAACGATTTTCTGGAGCCTATCATGACAATTTTACCACCTGCTCCAGAAGATTTGCTAAATACAATTTTCTGCAACTGCAAGAGTGGTTGTGGTTCGCGATGCGGATGCAGGAAAGCGGGCTTGCAATGCTCTTTAGCTTGTGGCCAATGTAATGGGCAAGCTTGTCTCAATGCTCTACCATATCAGAGCGACATTAACGAAGATGGAACCTTTGACCCCGAAATCATGGAAGAACTTGAGAGAAATGTCGTTGAAGACGATAATGAAGACCAGTTTGAAATTTACCAGCAGCCGGAAGACGACGATGAAGAGGAAGAAGATTATTAAAATTATAAATTGTAGTTTTTGTACCTTTTATTCCATTTTTTTACTTTTAATAAAAATAAATGTATTGAATGAAATTTTTTAATAAAAAGATTAATTCATAATTTATTTGTTTTTTTTTTCATCATGTAAGAATTTATTAATATTAATTAGGTTAAAATTCAAATATAATTCCTATATTTTCATTAACAATTTTGCAATTACATGGGCAGGTAAGTGTTGTTAAATAAATTAATACTAAATAAAAAGTGGATAGGTTAGGAAAAAAAATGATAAAATATAATATAATAGTTAATAAAAATTGACAAATATTTATAATCATTGATTAACGATATTTCATCAACTATATATGGCGCGTTTTCGACCGGAGGCACCGGTTGACCTGAAGTGATGCTGTGACCGCGCGCTCTCCGTTATCTATCTCGAAAACGGTTCACCGTATGAAAAATTTTTTTAAACAAAATTTTTAGAAAATTTTGTATTCTACAATATTGATAATAAATACAAATAGCAAAAAACCCATAGGAAATGAGATATTTACAAAAAAAGCGCAAAAAACCGATTTTTGTGACCTTTGACCTTGAAATTTAATAGATGCGTACACCCTACCATATGTAGGTTTTGAGACAACTTTTAGGGTGTCAATATACAAGTATTTACAGACTTACAGCTGGGTATCTCGAATTCCGAGGTGAACTTACTATAATGATTGGACTATTATGGTATTAACGAAATTTAATCTTATGGGGAATTGTAGGCTGTTAAAATCAAAAGGAAGATTGCTGGGTAATAATGGAATTAGCGTCACAAATATTGTCTTATCTTGAGTACATCCAATTAAAATAACTGCTTTTATTAAATGTTTACAAAGTGTTTTAACTTGCCCCTCGTTAGTGCACCGCTAGAGTACTCAAGGAATATTATTTCATCCAAAGGACTTTTCTTATGTAAAGTGGCGACCTGCAAAATTTTCAGAAAATTTGGTGTGTTCTTGTACTAAACCTAGTAACCAACAGTGTCAAAGGACTCAATGCTATGACTAGTTCTTAATATACAGGGTGCTAAAGTTGAAAATGCTGTTTTTCGGAATTTTTATATTCAAACTTACGAGCTGGTTTGAATTTATGTTGCATACACAAGTTTTCTATAAATTTTAGTAATACTTTAGTACAGACGTACAATTAAAAATATTTTTCATTACAGGATTATTCAGGAATGTATGACGGTGCTTTTTTACAAAATCTTACTAATTTTACTGTGACGCCAGGAAGCATATTTTCAAAATTACTGCTCGTTGTGGTATGTTCGCGACAAAATATTAAACAGTGCTCATTTCTTATACAGAGTGTTGTATAGAGAGAATCACAACATAAAATTGTTTTTTTAGGATGAATTCAAAACCCTGTACTTATGAATTGATTTTAAAATTTGTGTACCTCTAAGCTTTAAAATATACAAAGTGATTTTTTGTTGAAATGTATTCAGTGTATAAAGTACAAAAACCATGAACACCCTGTAGTTTCAAATTTTCCCGGTGTTTTAACTAAATTTATAAACAAAAACTACTAAACTCTAGAGGCTGTAGGTGTACTTCTGAGTACTCCTGTAAGGAATGCCAGCCTCTGTCCTTCTAAGAGGGTATTAAGTGTGCTTTTTGCTTAACATTTAGTCACCAAACAACCGCTCCATGAGTTATCATGGGTCTTGTTATTACCGAATATAGCCACTGGACCATATTCAGTTTTAGTTCCCAGGTTTTTCCAAATGCCCGTCTCCCTACAATGAGAGACATTTTACATTTTTTGGTCACTTTTTGTAACTGTTGGTTCCAAGTAAGTTTGCTATCTAGGAATTGACCCAGATATTTTACTTGTTTTATTCTTTTTAGCCAAACAGGGTCGGAGTTTATAAGATCTCCAATCTTGGTTTCCGAGTAAAGGATATAAGTTGTGCGTTGTCACGATTTTCCAAGAGATTTTCCGTAACGCACCACATTTCTGTTTAGCCTTGGAGCTCTTTGCATGAGTTCGATAACTGTGGTTTGGAGTTTCTCTTGGATAAAGATTACTATGTCATCGGAGTATCCTTGGGCGTACAGCCCTTGATTGTTCAGTGTTCTTAGCAGTTCATCTGTCACTAGGCTTTACAGTAGGGGTAAAAGGATTCCACCCTGTGGATATCCCCTGTAGAGATTCACCTGCATGGTTCCACTGAACATTTGTGCCTGTAACATGTCTTATATTCACCAGCAGATGGTGTCCTCTATTCCATGTTTGCGAGCGGCAGCTACCATTGATTTAAAGGAGGTATTATCAGAAGCTCCTTCTATATCAAGATATGCTTCTAGGACTATTTCTTGAAAACCAAGTCCTCCCTCTATCTTTTTTACAGATGCAGAGCAAAATCAGAAGATTTTCCTGATTTATAGGCATGTTGGTTTGTATGAAATGGCCTTTCTATCAGAGTGGTTTGTCGGGCATGCTGATTAATCAGTTTTTCCGATCCTTTCAATAAAAATGACGAATAACTCTGACTACTGGTCTGTAGGCCTTTGCCACCACATATGTTGGTTTAGGTATAAAAATCACTCTGCTTTATTTTCAGGTATTTGGTACATATTTTTTTGGAATCCAACTTGCTCTGTAGAACCTACAAATATGCGGGGCTAGTGTTTCTATTTCCTGTTGCAGAAACACAGGTAATACCCATCTGATCCAGGTAATTTATATGGACTCAAGGTGCGTATTGGCCATATTACTTTCTCGGTTTTGCAGTTTTCAATTCTTAGCTGAAGACTCTTTTTTGAGAGTTCCAGTTTGTATGGGTTTGGTTTGCTGCATTCGGATTTATTTTCATTTTTTGTTTTTCATTGTTTCTTATATTATAGAAA